GAACAAAAAATAAAAAAAATACATCCAGTTATCTCAATAAATTCCACACAGACAATAGCAATAGATTTCTATCATCTATTAGAATCTACAATATTTGCTAAAAGCTATATGCAACATCTCAAAAAACAATATAAATCTCAAATAATTCAAGTAGCATTTAATTATTTGAAAGCTACATTCATCCAAACAAGTATTTAATGTCAAAAACATGAAATTAAGTTCAAAATATCAAAACATTATTTAAATTGTTGTCCTAATATATAGTAACTTAGATAATCATATTCGAATTTCAACAATACATATTGGAAGAAGAGATATTTGGACTTGAACCTCATGTGATTATAATGTTTGGCTTTGTAAGAACATAGGAAATAAAGGGATAATGTCTAGGTTTTTACAAGATATTAAAAAAAAAAAACACAAAAAAAAAAAAATTGTGGGGTTGTGGGGTCATTTGACCCCACATGACCCCATGTGGGTCCGCCCCTGCTTGTAATCGATTAACAAAATGTTGTGTTCCCATTAATGAGATTATTATTGATAAAATACACTTTCAATGTTTCAATATAATGACGTCTAAAAAATAAAAAAAAAAAAACACAAAACAAAAAAAAAAAAATTTGTGGGGTTGTGGGGTCATTTGACCCCACATGACCCCATGTGGGTCCGCCCCTGATTGAGTTTTAATTTTTTCCATTTCCACACACTCTTATAATCATGCCTTTAGATCCGAGCTCTAAGGAGCGGTTGTGGAAACGTTTGAACTCAAGAAATTCAAACTGAACGGAACACTTCTAGGGAGCGTTGATGAGCCACATATTGCAAAATTAGCTCCAGTTGTGAAATTGGGTGCCAATGACTCCAGATAAGGAGTGAAATAATTGGCATGCACCTGGGGTAAGTAAAAATGCACGTCAATAGTGAATAACATCACATGTTACACAGAGTGCTTGATGATATTAGCTTAGCTTGCAACTTTATTATAGAATCTGTGACCTACCAAATATTGATCATGGAAAAACAAAACAGAGAGAGGAATCCCCTCTAGAGTCGCAGGTGGAGATGATCTCAAATTAGGTATGTTACATGTCACTAAAATACCTAATGTCCGAAACATATATGTAAGAAAATGAAAATAAATAACTTACAAAGGAAATCGATGATTAGTCACATAAGCGGCCAGTTGGTTGATGGAAGAAGTTGCGTGCATCGGGATCTCCTAGGTTTAATCCATGTGCAACGGCATACCCACCAGTATCAGAGTTTGAGTCGCCAAAGTTGAAAATAACTGAATTTCTATTACACTGAGAAAGAACAAAAGGGAGAAAGAAGAGATAAATTATAAAAGCAAGAACTGTAAGTAAAGGAGAGGAAAATCCTTTTTGCTTCTCGTCCATATTACTCGTAAGAAAAACTAAAATTGACACAATAATCAGCACTTCTACGACTTATATAGTTCTCAGGTAGAATAATTATGTATTGTTTAGTCGAAAAGAGACATGTACTTAATGCAGATACTGATATATACATACTTAAAATCTGTAGAAACTTGTGAGAGAATACATTTGTAATCCTTATCGTTGTTTTTACATTGATTTTGTCTGTACGTGTCATGTGATGTTGATTTGGTATATAAATTTTGACAATCTGGCCACCAAAAATGGAGGTCATTGTGTTTTGAATGAATAAGGCCAACATTATGCATTTCATCCCATTAATTCCCTAATCAAAATTGAGATGACAAGATATGGCTCATCCACTTTAAGAAATTAATGGGATTACCTGTTTATATAAGAATAACTTTATTCAATAAGAATTTCATCAATAACTTGATCGAGTAATTAAGGGTCTGTTCTCTTTACCATTTTCAAGCTATTTTCTGTTTTCGATTTTCCAAAACAGTAAAAACGCGTTCTCTTTCCTATTTTTGAAAACTTGTTTTTGAAAATGGAAAAAAAATTTGCACAAGAAACAAAAAACGACCAAAATCACGTTTTGGTCATTTTGAAGCCAAAACACGGTTATTTTCAGAAAGATCCCTCAATTCTTTCTAAGGTACTTTCCTTGATTCTCTGTTTTTTTTTTTCTTCCGTCTCTATGGATACAAGCTTGTGTGTGTTGATAGTAGTAATTGTTTGGGTTTGTTTACATGTGCCTGTATGTTTTGGTTTCTTGCCTTTATTTTTCACCCTTTTACAATATCCAGTTTTTTTTCTTTCTTTTTTCCTTTTATGGTCTAAATGTGTTAAAAGGGTTGTCAAGAAATAGCATATGAATTCTAGTTTTAGTTATTGATCAGTGAATTCTTTTCTAAAAATTCTTGGAATTAAGAGTTTGGAAAAGTGATTGGGGGACGGAAAGATTGAAATGAAACAAAACAAGGAAATGGTTGAAGCAATTTGATAATATATGAATACTTAGCCCCTGTTTGGCCCCCATTTTTTGGGGTTGAAAATTTGTAGAATAGTGATTGATGGGAAAATGTGTGGTGGAAAAGTTTTAGATTTGTGTGTAATATTATTTTATTTGAGAATGTGTGATTGAGATGAAGAGATATGAATACTTAGCCCCTGTTTGGCCCCCTTTTTTTGGGGTTGAAAATTTGTAGAATAGTGATTGATGGGAAAATGTGTGGTGGAAAAGTTTTAGATTTGTGTGTAATATTATTTTATTTGAGAATGTGTGATTGAGATGAAGAGAGAGAAAAAATTAATGTAATGGAATGAGAAAAAATGGGGCTCAAACTGGGGCTTAGTGATGCCAAATCTGGGGCCAAAGAGTTCTGACCTTGAAACTACAAATAGATAGACTGAATGCTATTCAAGTTTCATTTTTTTTTAATTGTAATTGGGGCCCTAATTTATGTCTCCAAACACAACATGTGAAGTACTTCGTTACCTTGAATAACAGGCTTATGTGGTGGTTGAGTGCATTAAAGGTTTTCATAACATCTGCATTATCAACCTTTATTCTCTATGATAATGCAAGCAGTTTGTTCTCTGCAGACCAACTGTCATATACTTTATAATGTACTGAAATAATGCAAAGTGGCTGACTTTAAGTTCAAGTTGAAAAATCTAAGGAAAAGGGAGATTGATTTAGTGTAAGAAATTACTGAGTGACATATCTTGTTTAGTTGATTTCAAAGTACATGCTTTGGTTTACTGCTTTATATGTTGGCCACATATCTGAGTAAACCGTGCAAGATCTTTGACATCCTTCATCAATATCACCGTCTTCGTCTTCTTTGTTGTTGTCTTTATGGTGCATTTCACAACGTTTTTTTTCTTTGGAGATGTTATTTTGTATATGCTAGTAGTTGAAGGCTTAGATTTTGATTAAGTATGCTAGTCGTCTGAATGTAAATCGTCTCAATGTTTATAGTGCTTCATTTTGATTAAGTATGCTAGTCGTCTGAATGTAAATCGTCTCAATGTTTATAGTGCTTCTAATGTGCTGTACAGGTTGGGAGCTCAAGGTTGTGAGCATGGTTGAGTTCAGGTCCTCATATTGCTTATGCTCTTGAAAAAACTTTTTCTTTTACGCATGTGGTTCAACTTTTGCATTTTTTTATGATTATGGTTGTAACTGATAAGAGTGTGATGGGGATTATGGGAGATTGCCAGATAATCTAACCCCCCACCCATGGTTTTCCCTTCATCTTTGAATAAGATCTGCATTGCTTTAGTTTCTTTGACAAATGAGTACGTCAAAAGAATCAAAACTATAGTTCTTTTCAACACATGCTTTGTAGGGCACGATCTTTGAGAATTTTATCCATAATCATGATCCAGCAGAAGTGAAGAATGATTTAATCTACTATTTATACGCTGGAAAATATAATATATGTTATCTGTGTAGGAGAATTGACATCATCATCAAGCAATAGAAATCGTGAGAATGGAGTGAAATTCATATGTTTTGGTTATGTTTGAAGGTTTTTATCAAATATGCTTATAGATGTTTATTACATAGTTGTGTGCCTGTAAACACCACATGTTTAGTGCCTCTTTGTCTTTCGCCCTCCCCCTCTCTCACAATCCTATCCATATGTATAAACACGCTCCTGATGCGCTGACCTTTTTCATGTGACACCTTCCGTTCCTTCAAACGTTTTTGCCTGATTTTGTTCAGTATTTGCTTGTTTCGTCATGACATGTAAACTTCTAATCGTATCGATTGAATTGTTTGCCAAATTTAATTTATGTTGTGTTTTTCATATCTTTAAAAAAATATTTTAAGATTCACCANGAAAAACATATTTTAAGATTCACCAACTTCAAAATTTATATGTTATTTACTACTATATTAACATTAAACTATTAAAATTTATTGAATAATCAGATTTTTTGAATAAAATATTATAAAAAAATATTCTCAAAATTTCAAAATAAATGCGTTTTTCATTTTTTTGTTTTGAGAAACAGTTTTTCAGAATGAAAAAAATAACGTATTTTCAGCAATTTGAAAACGGATATTCAAAACACAAAACACAGAATAAATTCAAAATTCAAAACTCAAAACTGAAACACGAAGAAAACAACCTCTAAGTTTTTTGGTGATTTTCAAACATATTAACTTTTTTGGGTCCAGTCAAGTCCGTGTATCAGCAAGCTAAGAGCTTGTTAACAGAATTCTCAAGTTCCTAGATGACAAATACACATATGGAGCACATGGAAAATAACCTTTCTAGACCATTAATGTAAACCTATCAACAAAAATGTCCTTGACAAGAATCTTAATTCTTTAATGTTTGCTATTGATGATATTTTATAGGTGGTAGGAGAAATAAGTAAATTAGATTGGAGGTTTATGTGAAGTATATTTTGTAGGATAAAAATAGTAGGGACTAAAGAAAGTGGAGGTCATATCCAAAGATAAAATTCTTGATCCAAGGAACCATGCCCACGATTATAGCTAACAGGGAAGCAATCGTTGGGTGCTGAAGTATGCTCCAGATTGGAGTCTGTTCAGCAACAATTCGTATCTTCTTGAAAACTCTAGGCGTTGCCAAACACCGAATAGGATTGCGACTGTTCCCGCTTCCTTCTACTGTGTGCTCGGTATAAGGCAAAGCAGATTGCAAAAACACTAGATAAGGTTTTAAATATCCTATAGATTAAGGGTGTCTTTGAATTTTCGATTTCTTCGTCTTCAATTCCTGGCCATTCAACTTCTACGAGTAAAGATTTACTTGCTTCGTCAGACGCTAGTTGCTCATGTTTCTCGTCCTCCTCCCCAGCAATCTCATAATTCTCCACCGGAGGCTCCATCATGTGATAAATAAGGGAATAAACAAGAATCACCAACCCCTTGAGCAAAAGATACATAAGCAACCCTATTCTGTGTGCAATCAGGACCGAATAGATTCTCCTTGCCATGACAAATGGAGCCAATGATGGCAATAGGAAGATTTCCTGTTTTACTAAATGCAGTCATGATGATAATTCTTATTTTTTTCATTATTTTATCTTACTTGATTCTTAATGAATTATAGAATTTCATGATATTTTCATCATTTTATATTTTGATTTTGCTTGCTTCCCAAGAATTTCTAGTGAATTCTAGATCATTCTTTAACCCCTAAACTCTTCTTGTTTCCCAAGTTAGTTTAGAGAATTCTAGCAACAATGCTAATAGCTATTTTACAGATTCGCTAAGAAATCCGTATACTATAGCATCCATACTTTTGTCCAGTTCAACACGACGGGCAATGCAAAGGTAGAAGGTTAGTTGTTCCGTGTAGAAAAATATATGAATTTCATTCTAAATTCTGTCATCTGAAGAACTCGTTCTTTTAAATAAAAGGAAACAAATAATTAATTGGATCGAAGTTTAATATAGGAAACAGATAATTAGTGGAGTAAAAGCTTTATCTAAATCCCAACAAATTCTATTCTGCCTAGTACCACAAAATCAACAAAAAATAATGTTGCCAATCTGCATCAGTATTCAAATTAAAGGGGGAAAAAATGATGCAAATTGCAATATCCAATTCAAGTAAACCCTTCTACCCAACTGCTTTCAATATATATCACTTTCTTTGAAATGTTATGAATCCCCTTTACTTTAGTTCATATTGGCATGAAACTCGTAAAATAAACGCTCGAAGGCCTCTTTTCCTGTCATGAGTCACTCTTACAAACTCATCACACTCTTCATCTATCAACGTTTCCAGGAAGGAATCACCTTTTGCCTTTATTTCCTGAGTTGTAATTTAGAACATACAGTTACTTACTAGTACCAGGCAGTGGAGTTGGATATCTTAATTTCACTATTCTAGTTACGTTTTTGCCACTACGCCAAAAAACATCATTTGCAACATTAAAAAGGCAACATTTGTTGATAAATGTTGCTAAAAAGGTCTTTTGACAACATTTTAGTAAGTGAATGTTGCCATTGATTAATATAAATGAGTTATGGCAATATTTTTTAGAAAAATGTTACAGNAGTTTTGGTAACGTTTTTTGAAAAATGTTGCGATATACCCCATTTTGCAACGTTTTTGGAGTGTTGCGGAAGGTGAGACCTTTCGCAACGTTTAATAAATGTTGCGAAAAGTTTCAACCCTTCCCTAATAATATAATAATCACTACTATTATAAAAGAGGGGATGTGGGGTGCACTGTTCATTTGTGCACCCTCGTTTCCATACTGGTTATCCTCCAACTCGATTTGCTACATTACTTTTTCTCCCTTAGGGCACAATATATCTTCATCAGGCTTCTTACACCCGTTTCATCTCTCACCGCCGTCTTCCCCTTCTCTCCACCGCCTTCGTCTTCTTCTCTCCACCTCTTCACAATCTCTCCTATTTTACTCTGCAAAAGCGTTCCTTCCAATTTTAGCAGTCGATTTTCCTTTATGCAGTTACAACTCTTTCTCTTCACAATGTTCCTATGGAGGGAAAAAAATAGTTAGATTCTATGTAAAGTCAATAAAGAGGTGCTCGAGAATTTTAGAAAGGTAAGTAGACAATTGCTCAATCAATATGTTCCCTACAGTTATTTATAAGAAGTTAAAATATTGCGAAATGATCACGATGACAATTAAATTGTAAGATGAGATTCCCTTCCATTCTATTTGAATAATATAGTTCTTTGGTGGTGCAGAGGAGATGGTGGTGGTTTGGAGTTGGATGGAGGTGGAATTGACGGGTTCAGGTTTCACCCTTCATCTGGTTCCCACCATTCATTCCTTACATTAAACGACGCCATCTTGCAATCTCGTATCTTCTCTTGCAAAAAATGTTCTCATTTTCTAGCTACTGCATGCTCTCTGTTCTTGAGCCCTAATTAATAGCTTCTACTACCATCCTTGCATCAAATTAATTGTGCTATTATCCTTGCATCACATTCTTTCGTTGAATACTAAGGAAATATTGAGGAATGATATTTCAGATTGAGAATGTATCAATGACAATACAATTACCTACAAGAATACTAATCTTTCGGCCTCCGAGCGGTCAATGTATCCCACTGCCTATACATTTGGTAAGAAAATTTCGCTATTTTGATTTATAGATTAAATTTGCTTGCTACTTGTTCTATGTTTTACATGTTCTTCCGTTTTTGTTGTTCAATTTTGACAAAAAATGGAGTTTGGTTACTTCAGGTATGTTGTTCTCATATTCTTGTTGCGTATTTTTTACAGTTTCTTCAGTTGTATTGTTGAATGTTCGATTTTTTATTTCATTTTTATTGTTCAAGGTTTGAAGATATCGTTATAAAAATACTACAAATTTCAACAGAAATTGGAGTTCCATGAATTCAGATATGTTATTTTGATATTCTTATTGCCTTTTTTTTCTTCATATATGTTTCTTTGGAAATGTGAACTGTGTTTCTCAACAAATGATTGGCTCTCCAAACAAGCAACTGCAAAGCAATTGCCTGAAGAAGATGAAGAGTCGAAGGAGAGGACTGAGAGTTTTGATGAAGAGTTTTGTAATTTAAACATTTTATTTCATTTTGAAGTGTGTGGATTCAAAAATTTATAATGAAATTATCAATTTTTATGCAATTTCAAGATTTGTTTACAAATATTCATTTTCAATTTTGCTATTCAATTTACATAAAAAAAAAGGCAGCGTTTTTTAAACGTTGCGAAAAAGGCAGCGTTTTTTAAACGTTGCGAAAACTTTTTCGCAACGTTTTTTAAACGTTGCCGTATCTCTTCCCTTTTTGGCAACACTGCACTTTGCAACACATGCTGAAACGTTGCTAAAGGCCTTTTGCAGCGTTTTTTGGCCGCTGCAAAAGGCCTTTTTTGGCGTAGTGTGCACCGATAACCATCATGTACATGTAGCTATAAATATATTGATAGGACTATCTTAATATCCCACTAGAGAGCACATGGCTGTCATGGTATTTCCCTTTGTATTATTATTTTCTGCATATATAGTTGTTTTATTTCAAACCCTTCCAGAACTGAAATATTGTTTGATCAGGACTTAACTTGATGACTGTGGAGTTTAAGAACATTAGCTTTACAGTTTGTGGCCAGGAGAAGGTGTGCATTTATGAATACTTTCTGTAACGTATGAAGTATCAATGAGTGATGATGTTTTGTTGCTATATTCATTATCATCTTCCGTCATGAAGATTGTGACTTGTATAAACAAGTATAATGAGGTCTTAGTTTTTTGTAAGTCGATGTAGCTGTGAAGTGTCCATAGCAATTGACGGTTTCATGTGTGTTCGTAATCTTAAAATGTGAGATCACAGAGAGAGAGAGAGAGAGAAGATTGACAAATTCTTACCCTTCTAAATGCCAGGTAGTTGTGTTAAGTTTTTTGAAGTACTCATGTTTACTGCTAGTAAAAACCACATTCAGTGGAGTTTGGATTTGTGGTTGGGGGATGGTAAGCACATTAGGAGCATATATAAAGGAAAATCTTGGGGTGGAGGGCTTTTGGGTTTGCTTGTGAGAGGTTTCTCAAAATATAATGCTTGTCCTTGAATTCTCGATCGTGACTGGAAAATAGAGGCACTAATCTACCTATTGCCTAATATCTGTGATGGCTGCTGCTGTCTATGACAAATGTCACAATGAAATTTAAAGATAGTAATTATTTTTAATAATTATCTATACCCTGGAAGGCTGGAACCATTCAGTTTACAAATAGAAATAACAGGTAAATTTCGATCGTTTACCCAGTGTTAAATATGAAAGGGGCATAAGGAAGAAGATACCACTTCTTATTGCCTTTATGAACAAAAAGTGCTATATTTTAAAGATTCGAATTGGCGGTACGTTTATTTAGATTTCAATATATCACTGCATATTATAATTTCATTACTCATAACTGTAGTTTCTTCACTTATTCGAGATCCGAAACGATGATATTTTACTGTGTTTTGGATAAAATACTACCTAACTTGTGTCATTTTGTAGGTAAAACTCAATGTTTGATGAAAAAATTGAGAAAATAATGCAAAGATAGTAGAAAAGAACTCAATTGTATCAAATACAAGTTCGGGGACTGAAATACAAATACTCAAAAGTTACGTCGAACCTCACTATGAAGATTTGAGAGTTTTCGACATCGATTGGATGAGGAAAGAAGCTAAATGGATGAAATATAATCCAAGTACTATCACATATCAACTTTCAGCCGAAAAAGTTATGCTTCGAATTTTCAATCTCAGTTTGAGACCCATTTTTGGCGTAGGAAATGTTCGAATTGGAAAACTTATATTTTTGGAAGATTTGTAACTCTCTGAGTTAGATTTACAATGCACTTTGAACCACCTCAATCGGATATCGGGAGAGAAAGTTATGATAAAAATATTAAGAACTGTTTAACTATCGAAAATTAGACGAGGCCTGTGCCCTCACCTGCAGGAGAGGCACGCCCCCAAACCACGAGGCTGCCCAAACCCCCAAGGCTCATGCCCTAGCTTGCACTAAGCACGAGCCTCAAGGCGAAACAAAAAAAAATCTCACTTTCCTTCTTTTGTTTTGGTAATAATTTAGGGCAATCTTTTTGACATATTAGAGGGAAAATTCCGGGATTTGGAGGGAGAGCAGTATTTTTGAGAAGAAAAAAGAGAGAAAATTTACATTGAAGAAAGAAGAATTCATCATTTTGGGTCCGAATTTGAAAGCTTGAAGTGAAGATTTCCAGATTTTCTTCATATTTGTATGATTTGGGTGATGACTTCCTTTTATTTTTTATGTAATTCTTACATTAACATGTTAGACTAAATTCGATTGTATTGGATGAATGACAAAACTCTTTGATGTTTAGTTTCTAATTCAAGACTTGTTGTTTTTAGTTTAATTCTTGCGTTGTGATTTCATAAACATGTATAATCATATTGTTTTAATGCTTGCTGACCATTATGGCAATAAGTTACTTATTCGTAGTGTTAGAAAACGCATGGTTAGAGAGAACACTGTTTATAGAACAAATGAATAATTAATATTATGAATAATATTTATGAAGTGTGCAATCATGTGTGATAATCCTAAACTTCAATGTTTGTCATATGAATGAGAATTAGGAATATGATTGTCTCGTGATAAACATAGGGTTATTATATCTTGAAAAAGAATAGTAAATAAAAGTGAAATTATCGATCGTCACAACTGTATAAATTGAATTAACTATCACAAGTTGAGGAATGAAATTAAGAATTGATTAGTGGTGTCAGAAATCCAATACGTTCATCACCTTTAATCTAAACCAATATTTATTGCTTTCGTAATTATAAAACATAGTTAGATATAAACCGAACATATTTTGTTATAATCACGAATTTAAATATATCAAATACACTTAAATTAAGCTTTATTCCCTGTGGGACGATAACTCTATCATCACAATTATTACTTGTACAACGAACCCATACGCTTGCGAGATTTTAACGTAACAATTCCATTCATGGTCATGTTATAATGGTTTCTAGGGTGTTTGAGTCTCAGATTTTGCTAAGTTTTCATGTGTGTTCTACAGATTCGTCCATTGTGGAGAAATTATTTCCAAAACACTCGTGATGCAGGGGGATCGGAGCCAGACGAGGTCGAGCTGTCTGACAGTTCGTTAATGTTGCTCAGATACCATGAGTTGGCAGATCAGCGCAAAAATGGCAAGTAATCATCGATCTTTCCTAATTGGTGCCGCTTTTGAACACGTTTCGGTATTTTGGCCATAACTTTGGCTACGGTTGTCAGAATCACGCCCATGACCCCAATTCGAAAAGCTCTTTCTGGCGCGCACATCGTGGGTATCCAACTATGCTCGGTGTGCATCGGATTCGAGGCCAAATTCAGCTGTTTTCCCGTCCAAATTATCAATTTAAGTTATTTTTTGCCATTTTTAGTAATATCTCGATTTCCTTTTTGACATAAATTACGATCTCAAATTTAGCCAGATTTTTGGGATCTGCTTCATTTTATTACATATTTCGTTTTGGTATTAATAATAGAATTTTGATATTTTTGGCAAAATTCCGATAATTAATATTTTCTAGCTATTTAACCCGACTTGTGGGTTATTTTCGTTCAGTTGTTGAATAATAAAGAATTTTCTCGTTTCTCTTGGTGTTTCTCTTGCGTTCTTCTCTGTATTTGGCAATTGGTTCCAACCTGCAGAATAATCACTATTCTGCCAGGCGTCAACTCGGGAACTCATCTTTGTGGTTGACAGCAATGACCGAGACCATGTTGTTGAAGCCAAGGATGAGCTACACAGGATGTTGAATGAGGTAACAGAAACCTCATCTAGATTAAGAAGATGATTAAACAGCTGAAATTTCACATCACACGATTCACTTTGACCAAGTGATGTGTGGATTGATTTCTCAACAACATTTGGATCTTATTCATTCCTCTTCTTATTCTATTGCTTTCCGGACAAATTTAAGGATGCTATGCCTTGGTATTTGTGAAATTCCCGAATTGAAAACCATGGCTTCATCAAGAAGATTGAATTAAACTTCATAAAAGAAAACAGAGAGAAGAAATCGAAATTCTGAACTATTGTTCTTGAATTGCAATCAATACATTTGTCAAGTATATAAAGGGAAAATACATCATTACATCATTAACTTCCTAACTAAATCTATCCAGCTGTCTAATTGAATCTTCCTAACTACCATGCCAGTATAACAGTATTATAGTTAGCAAGTAGCTGACTTGGCTGATGTGGAAGCAGCTGAATCTGCATCACAAGAGTATTTGCTAACAAGCAAGATCTACCAAATGCAGCTGAGATAACTGACAAGCTTGGTCTTCATTCTCTTCGCTAGCGCCACTGGTAATTATTGTCACATGCTTCTCCCCTCTCTTTTCTCTCTATTGCACCCAACCTAACCCCTCCAAAATCTACTATTGAAATGCAGGTACATACAAAGTACATGTGCTACTTCTGGTGAAGGGTTGTACAAAAGATTAGACTGGCTATCAAACAACATTGTCAACAAGGTCTGATCTTCTTCAATACTATTATATCATGTTAACACGTACTATTTTTGCAAAGAAAAGAATACTATTTCAGAAAAATCGACAAAATCGGGGTAACACTAGAGTCTGCTAACCTAAATCACACATCTTCTATATATTAAAAGTGGCTATGAAACAGAGGATTAACAGAATTTCTTGTTCCACCGTTAACTTTAACTGATTCTGTGAAGTAGCAATTAAGCCACCCTTTGTGCCCATTTATCTTCTGCCTGTTGGAGTTCCATTATATAATCGTATTGTTCTTGAAAATGGTGTTTTGGATCCAAAAGAAAGCTAATCACTTGCTGGTATGATACCGGATCTTCTTGGTCCAATTCGGGTTGGAAGCCGCTGGTGTGGTTCTTCTTTAACTGAAAACTTGCACTGCGGATCCAGTACGAGCGCTCCTTCGTCGGAAAGTGCAGTCCGGTCGTGTGTGGAAGCGCGGCGGACGAAGCTTCAATCTGGGAAATGAGGTAAGATTTTCGGCCTTTTGTGTTTGTTTGTTGTGCGCCAGTTTGGGCATTTTAAAAAAAAAATTGGCCCAAACCGAAACCAATCCATCTAATATCAGCCTGCTTTACAAATGACAAACAAATCCATTTCCTCACACAATTCACAATGGAAACGAAAAGGGCAAGAGTTGAAGACTGAAGACCGCAAGAGCTACAAGACAATTCGGCGACGGGCAAACTATGAAGTCGAAGGCCGAAGGCGAAGGGTAAGGGTCAAATGGAGCAGAAGCATGGGACGCTCGATCTGGACTCGGTAACGGTGAGCACTTGGCTAACTTGCTTGGGTAATTTTTGTGTTGCACATTTGAAATTTCCTGATTATTACTTGCTGCTGGGCATATTTTGTTGATTTAATCTGTGGCTGTGAGTGTGAGAGTGTGTAGTGTAGACTGTAGACTCAAATTTGTGTGTCTTGCCGCTAGCTGGTGCCTTCCTAATTTGCTTGCTTGGGTATTTTTTTTCCTTGGTTTTTATTATTTGTTAATTGTTAATTTGTTATGATTTATGTTTATAAGTTAATTGATAGATCCTAGGCTTGTGCATTATCTTCCATCTGTTATAGCTGGTGCAACAATGGTATACGTGATTCGAGAAATAGATACATGTAATGCAATGGAATACCAAAATCAACTTATGAGTGTGCTAAGAATCAGCAAGGTTAGCTTTTTTTACTTTTTGAGTCCATACTTGAATTTAAAGATTTCCAGTTTGTGTTTTAGTTCTTAATTCTTGTATGAATTATAACAGGAAAGAATTGATGATTGCGATAATATTGGTCATTTTGATGCTTACCTCATAATCATCATCTTCGTTTTTTTTATTTTTTATTTTTTGTGAAATTTCTGTCAAATTGATATGATTCTGCATAGACCCCATTTTTTCCTTTTCAATTAATAAGTTATTGGCTATCATTTTGCTCTATTTTCCAAAAAACTTATGCTAATAATTGTTAATTTTCTTTTGCTGATAGAATTAGCATTTTGGGCTTTGGGAAATTATTTCCTTTGCAAAGCAATTCTATCGAAATTCTGCAGCATTTTCTATCTTATGTGGATCTGTATTTTGACTTATTTCGTTCAAATTTCAGGAATACGTGTACAACATGCTCCAATTCAGGTGAGGTTACATCTTGTCTTTTCGGAAATGGAACAGGACATCATGAGTTTTATAATTTTTATTTGATCGGATCTTTCGTTGATTTACTTCTTGTAGCTATGGATGGTACTTCGCGTTCGTTCAAGGATGGGTGTATATATTCTTGATTTACTTGCAAGGCTTCACTCCAAAGCAAATGGTGAACCCATGGAAGACTTATGTGAAGCTCTCTGCTGTGCTCATGGGTTCAAATGGACTTACCAAAGGCTCTCTGGCTTTTCTCAACTATCCGGCACAGCTCATGTTCAAATCCACCAAGGTGAAAAAGAAATCCTTTGGCTTTCTTTAATTGTGTTGCAAGATAAATGGGTTTGCATAAGCTCTGAATCTGCTTATATTTGGATGTTGTCCATGAAATTCTCGCTGTAATAATAGCAGCGAACTTAATTCAGATAAAATGTTACTATGAGTTGATTAATATTCCCTTTGTATATGACCAGCTCATGCAAGACCGAGTAAGTTTTTAGCATTAGTTTTTAATGCGAAGTTTTCTCCAATTGCTCTTTTTCGTGTTTTGAAATATACTGGAGTTCAGTGTGAGCAAATTTGAATGTGCAGTCTTTTCTTTTATTTCAAGGAATTATACATTTATGGTATCGCACAACAGCCATAGGAGGAGGGAGATCGGGGTGAAGGAGATAGTGGCGGAGGACGGTGGAGAAGGAGGAAGATGCAGCTGCACTTCTCACCCGACATGACTCCATTATTAGATGAATTGGTTTTCAATTTGTAATTTGAAAACTAAAGTTATGTTTTTCTTTTAGTTGACAAATTAGTTTCATGGTGTAATTTAGGTTTAATGTTGTCATGATAGTTGGTAAATTAATGACTTGTCCTAAATATTACTGTGTGAACATAATCATAAAAGTTGAATGTGCTGCTCTGGTTTTATTATGGTTGGTACCTTGTTAAATGCCTTACTGACTTTTCACAATTATACTTGTTGCCTTTCAGGTGTGGAAATTTAATTTGGATTTGTTCCTACGTGAATGGTTTATGAGTTGAACATTACAGTTGAGTTAGTTATTCCCTTAGGTAACTTTCTATTTGTCTTTCATGTTTAATCAAACACTGCTAAGACACGGGTTTCTAACGAGAATTTTGAACATAAAAGTAGTTAATATTTTGTCCATGTATTCAAATTTGTGTTGCAACAAAAGGTCAATGCTGCAATGTTAAAATTGTAACGCTCAATCTTCACCTTTAGAACTCACTTTTCCATTGCAGAAGAACATTCTATTGAATGCCTAATGAAACCGTTGCGGTTTGTCAATATCTCCATTGATTTGGATGGTCCTTGAGAATTGATTGGTTTAGTTATCTCATTCTTTGCTTAATTTCAGTGTGATGACAAGCTTGGTCTAAGTTTAGAATTGATTAGTTGAGTTAGACAAAGTTCTCAATGAAGTCAATTAGATTTTAGGTGATTTTAATTTCGTTTATTTAATTAACCAAAATTACATCGTCATTAATAACAAAATTAATTTTTAAACAAAATTATTAAATATAAACTAAGCAAACGAGTATTGCACGTTGCTTACACCTAGTTTACACAATATATATCATCACCTTATAAACATTGGGCAACATGTCACATGCATGTGCAACCCTAAATGCCCTAGGTACACTAGCACTCAGTAAACAGATAACAAAATCCTGTTAAATCAACTATCTTGGTTTGTAAATAGATCAAGACGATGATCGGCCAACCGTAAGGAATACATACTTGTCTTGTATTCTCTCCAAGTAAAAGGCCTATAGAGAGCTGGATTTTGAGATGAGACCATTTGTGGTACGGGGGATATGTTTGCATCTAGGGATGGAGCCGCAAAATACATCATTGACATTCTTGGTTTAATTGCATTTGCAACTACCCTATGTCTTACGCTTTCAAATCTTCCATTTGTCAAAGCCTACATTTCACAATCGAAGTAAAATTCGTGTCAACAACAAGAAGTTAACAACAAATTGCATTTGTTTGAAGCATAGAACACTGTATTAACCTGAAAGACATCGCCTACAAAGATGCAAAATTGATTGGAGTCAGGAGGAATGGGGATCCATAAACCATCTCGCAAACAAATCTGAAGGCCACCAACGTCATTTGATCTCAAAATTGTCAACATTTGAGGATCGGAATGCTCTCCAAATCCAATACGGGTCTTTGAATGCTCAAACAGTTTGGGGGCTGGGTTCCAATCCTCCATGGAATCAATGCTGACGGAAGGATAGTGATTAATTCTGAAGCATGAATCATTCTTTACATCCCTAATGAGTTGACTAAAAATTGATTTGTCTTCTACCCACAGCCCTTCAGCCACTAAATCAAGAATCTCACATGCCAGGTTCCTAGTTGCTTGTATGTAATCATTCATAGCACTACTACAAATGTTATACAAACACAAAACATGAGAACGAAATCATAACATTTTTGACATCTTTTTCCTATGTTTAATATAGCCAGGAATATTGTTTACCCTAAATTTAGCACCTGTTTGGTTTGGATTAAAATCTTAAATCAAAATCAACAATTAATTTTAATCACATATACCCACAACTTTTCATTCACACATTTCATTAACTTTTATCAAAATCTACTAAAAAACTTGATTTTAATATCTCCCAAATAGGGGCTTAATATCAACACATTCTTGAACAAGCTCTCCAAAAACTTTTCTTTTTTCTTTTCTTCTTTTTTTTTTCATTGTGGAAGTTCTGTATTTGTCCTTTGACTTATTTCATTTTTACCACACTTTGAAACTTGGCTTCCTTGTCATAATAAATAATAATAGAATTTTTGACACACTCCAATGGTTTTTGAAGAGTACTAGACTCGAAGAACAAGAACATATCATGATAAGAATGATGTAAATTTTACATCTTTGAAAACGTAGTTCCAAACTAAAATGCAAATGGTGAATTCAAAGAAAAAATGGGGAGGACTCAATGGAAGTGCATCCATATATTGCAACATCATTGAAAGTGACTTATCTTTTACTTTGGGTTGTGATGATGTATGTTATCCAGCAAGAAAAAGGTTAAGATAAGAACCAAATTGTAAAGAAACAGAGAGTCACTTTCTTGTGTCACTATAGTTGAATTTCAGAAAAACATACTTTGCCTAAAGCAGAATGTTGACGTGGACACCCAACAATTCTATTTAATAAAAAAGAAAAAATTAACAGTGAGAGGGACCTCACCGTGTTCCAATGGTCCACAAGAAGATCACTTCTCCCAAAGTTGTTGAAAAATTAAAAAATAATGAGAATAGATATTGTATGGATAAGAGACAGTTATTCAACTCCAAAGGGGTATCGGTCATTTTTAAGGTTGAAACTTCCACGTTTTTAAGGCTTGCACGTGTAACTATTTGACCATAATTTTCATATCTCATGACAAGTAGACAACATTGACAAAGAATCTTCAACCTTAACAGACGTGTAAATCTCACCCAAATTATATGGTGCATGCCTTTTCAAAAATCGTATGGCACCATCAGAACTCAAAAATCTAAGTACCCAACATGAAAATTATAAAGTTATCATTCTATAAATTCAAGTCTAACCTTTTATAAAATCAAATATTTTTTAATATACAGTAAATTTATTGATTCCAAAAGGAGAAACTGGAATGCATTTTGAGGGAGAAAATCACAATGCATAAAACTAATCACATTGATGAAAAGTAATTAATATATCATTAAATAATTGTTTAAAGTTCTACTTATAATTAAATATATATTTTTTGTAACTTACATTCTCTGTTACATATTCAACACCTAATTATCTATGTTGACCTAAAACAGTTGTCATGATTTCATTCGATAGAAATCATGGGTACCTGAAGTTTTGAGGATTGGTGGAGATGGAGATAGATCTCTGGAAAATGGATTGAGGATTAGCTTCAAGAAGAATATATTCAAGTTCGCCCTTGTCGCCGTTGAATCCAATATTCTTGCAGCCATAACCAAAAGAACTAGCAGGCGGTCCAGTCTGTTGCTTTTCTGATGCAGTTTTTGAGAAGAACTGTCGACCTTCATTTTCAACTCTACAAATTATTTCTTTGGGAACTCCATGATTTATTACCTGGAAGAAACCGAATTCTTCGCAAGCTTTTACTAGTAATTCAGAAAGTTTAGATCTCTCGAGATTGAGATCTATAACTGGAATTCCAAATGCTCGAGTTATTTTGCTTCGGAGTGGAGTTGGTGAAGGCACAACCATTTTGTTTGTAATACAATAAGAAGAAGAAGAAGAAGAAGAAGAGGAGGAGGAGGAGGAGGAGTAGGTGGTGGATAAATTGAATGAGTTTGAGCTTGTTGGAACTTGGGAGAAGGGGTGATCACGATCGAGTTTGCGCGGTTAAATAGAGAGAGAGAGAGATGGCCACAACCTTTGACCTTTCGAAAAAATAGTACTAATACTACAGGAACAGAAGTGCGCGTTGTTATATGTCAAGAGAATCGGTGTACATTTCCACAAAAAGAGTTCCACAGCCTCACATACAACTAACATAGGAACTTGGATGGTAGTGGAGTTACTATGGAGGATGTCGGTATTTGATTTAGGTTCAATGACCAAATGGTATTTGACATTTGTAATTAAGGCATATTAAATATCGAAATAAACTGTGTTTGTTTGTTAAAATTTCCTGTGTCTAAAATGCAATAGATTTTCTACACCAAATTCATCTTTGCTGTAAGCATTGTTAACAAAATATTAAATTTTTAACTTATTTGAGGCATAGTATTCAATGTTCACAAAAGAATTTATATTTTGCACTTGTCAATGGAAAAACATTTGACATAGTTGGCAACAAAAATAAGTAGTTATGGGAATGTTCATAATATATACGTATTTTTCAACACATTTCAATTTTAAGCTGTAGGGATTATACAGGCCTCCAAAACACAAAGTAATACAAACTATGGAAATGAACACAAATGATTTTTCGTCCTAAGACCCGAATGTTCACCCAAAAATTAGGACTAGCCACCTGTTGAATATTCATCGAAGTGATTAACACTTCAATCTACTAGAAACCAACAATATATTAAGATCAATGTTACAATACAACAGATCCACAAATGATCAGCCCTCAGACCCAAGAATCTCTCATAAATCACTCAGAAATACGATTACACAAAGTAACCAAAGGTTACTGTCCACAGAAGAACAGAAACCAAACCCAAGCCTCAATCAAATACTATATCTCACCAAGAACACCTAGATCAAAAATTACATATGAAAACCAAAGGTTTTTAGAGAGAGAAAAACGAGAGAGCCAAAAGATAAAACCCTAGAATGATCTCGAACCAATTGCAAGAGAATAAAGAGTCTGGCCAATAACATCGACGGTCAGAAGCATCCTACGGTCACAACTCATCCACGTGTCATAATCTCAACCTTTGAGATAAGTGTAATTGGGCTGTCGGGTTGCATTTCAAATTGGGCTAGTCTTCTCATAACAGCAATGGGTGCATCATAGGGCCTTCACATAATTATAGAATTGGACTGCCACAATATTGGGCCAAATTGTTAAACACCAAGTTTACATAAACCCTTACCATGTAAAAATGCGACCCAAATTCGAAAGTTTAAAGTAAAGGGTTCTAGTCACTATTTTTTTGTTTAAGTTTTGCCACTCAACTTCTATTTGTATTTAAGTTAAGAGTGGCATGCCAACTTCTGTCACTGAAAATATAATTTATATGGCCGTTTAATATAGTTATCGATTAATAAACTCGATATCCTTGACAACCTTCTTTAAAACTTGTTCAACATGCCAAAGGACATGTTAAAAATGTATAGTGCGATATTCAAACCTATAAACTCAAAACTTGTAGCTGGAGAAAATTTACAGGTGAATGAATAATAATGACACATTAGTTTATCCACTTAATTTTTTCTCCTGAAGGTGAAGAAATTTTATTTTTAAATAAGCCACATGCAAACTACAAAGAAAATTAGGTTAATCATGTGATTAGTAGTTAAACATGCTCCCAACTTAGCGGCAAAATGGGAAATCAAGCGGCTGTCTCGTTCTCTTAAAAATTAACATACAATATTTAAAGAATTAGTCCAATTGTACCTTTAGCTTAACAGTTTCCGCAAGTGGTCTAGAACAAGAAAAGATACTTATACCATTGAACTTGTTTTTAAAAAAATCTGTTGAAGCAAGAAAAAGTCTAAATCATAATTAATTATGAAGAAAACATAGTAATAATGCGCAAGGCATGCTAGGCAAAGGTGCAATCCAACGTCATTTGCACGTTGATTTCATACATGAACTCACCTAAAAGTAGGTTTAAGGTTTAATTTTAAACACTGCCAAAGTTGATGACGCGACTATCAAATTGAACAATATTGTTAAGTGGTACGTAAACCTTAATCCCTTCCTCCACGTGGAGCATTTTGCTAAGTCCCGCTCATAGGTTTTTTTTATGTCGTAACAAGGGATTGTAGTTGTTTTTAACTTTTGGGGACCAAAGTGGTACACTTCATACGTTCTCTAGCTATAGTTAAGAGCATTTCATGTCACTATCAGTCCAACTAATATATGAATATATTAGTTCTATGTCTACACTTCTAAGTGCCTTGAAGTGGATGAAAAGAGAAGCATAGAGGACATCTTGGCATAGTAAGGCTAAGAAAATTGCATTTGCAAGCATCGTTTACCATATATGGATGGCAAGAAACATGAAATTTTTTGAAGGTTTTAACACATAAGTCAAGAGCGTTGTTGGGCAGATTAAAACACACATATATAAAGTTATGTTTTCTTTGTATCCGCAAGTTTTAGTTCTTTATGAGTTTTTGGCGCTAATTGTGTAATTTGTGTTATGTATCTCTTTTGATTGCTCAGATATGCTCGGTGTTTGATGTATTTGTTATTTTGATCCATAGATGTTTGGTTTTCCGTCGACGTATTTGTATATAAGTTTTGATCTATATAATTCATTTACTACTATTGTACTTAGGTGATTTATAGTTAAAAAATCAACACAAAAATGATGTCAACAACTTGCCTTTAACGTAGTTCGATCATGTTTATGAAAGCACTACTTATGAACAATGGAAGTTCAACTGGCAATTGTCCATATTATATTTCTTGTTCATAAGACATAGTTTTCGTGTTTATAATAAAATAATAATTATGAGTACCTACTCGTATAAATGAGTAAATATCTAACATTAATTTCAAAGTAGACTACTTATTTTGGCATCTGGACACAAGTAAATAATTAGAAAAAACATGTCCCTTCATCTTGTTAGGCTAAATGAATCAATCTTTCTATATATACTAGTCAAATGCCCGTGCACCTGTGTTCTTTTTGAGGCAATATTAGTGTGTCGATCGTTCAGGATTGAAAGCAGATATGTGCTGCGGTTTACATTAGCAAAATGCATGGGTTGAATTATGATAAAGGGCTAAACATTTAAACCTTCTAAGTACAGATAATGATTTCAATTATTTGTTCAAGTTCGAAGGGACCAGTTTTGTCATTTATTATTTAGCTATATAGTAGTCCTTTCCAGTTAGTTAAAATAAATGACTATATGCGGGATATGTTTCAGCAGCTTGTATGTCCTAAGTCCTCAACCTTCACTTGTTCAAAATTGAATCTAACCCACCTTCTCAATTGAGCATCAAATGCTAGATGCAAGAAAAAAAAGGATACAAGAGATGCAGAATACAATTAGGCAGCATTGCTAGCTTATACATCTAGATTATAACCATTTCTGTTCACCTTAATTGTCCCATAGCT